GAGGCTCCCCCCCACACACACATGGGGGTTGCAATGGTGCCGTGCCTGAAAGAAATTTGTTACTTCCACCCCTGGGCTCAAGCCATTTTTTACATTTATTATTGATGCAGCAGGCCCAGAGGCACTGGGGCTGCCAACTGCCAAGTCCAGAACCCACAACCCCAGCCAGAGTCTCACCCCAACCCCTCTGCTCCATCCCCACCACACACTGTCCATGTCCAGAATGACTTTTGCTTTGTGCACCAATATGGCACATCACCTTCATAGCAGTGCACATAACAAAAGTCATTCCACACATGGGCAGTAAAACATTAGCGGGCTCCCTGGGTGTATTGTACTCACTGGCTTTTGCCTTGCTCCCAAGGGTGAACCTGCATTGCTGGGCCAGGGTGGGGGCGTGGGGCCGGCGGCGCATGACAGGGTGCTCTGTCACAGCCATCTAGACAGGCAGGGCGCTGGGGAAGCTAGGAGGAGCTGGCAGGAGTCCAGCAAGCGAGGAGCAGCGAGTGTGAGTCACGCTGCCTTGAGGGTCCAGCGCCGTGTGTTCATCACAGCTGGGCTGGTGGGGCTGTCCTGAGAACTCTGCGCACCCTGACATGCGGTGCCTCTCAGGCATGCATGTGCTCTGAGTGGGGGCATGCTCTGATTCCTCATGGGAAGGGTTGGGTGCTCACCAGCTTAGTAAGAGGATTTCTGTATTCTAAGTATGCACGTATCAGGAGCAGGGCCTCAGGGGCTGGGCACACACACAGATGTGGGTGTCCATCTCAGAAAAGATATATTGGCATTGGAAATGGGTAGGGCAACAAAAATGATGAGGGGTATGGAAGAGCTGCCATGGGAGGAGAGATTAATAAAGCTGCGTATTTTCAGCTTGGAAAAGAGATGACTAAAGGGGGCTGTGACTGAGGCCTATAAATTCATGACCGGTGTGGAGAATGTAAATAAATAAGGAAGTGTCATTTATTCCTCACAACACAAGAACTAGGGGTCACCCAAAGAAATCAATAGGCATCAGATTTCAAATCAACAAAGGAAGTATTTTTTCACACAGTGCAGTCAACGTGTGGAACTCCTTGCCAGAGGATGTTGTGAAAGCCAAGATTGTTACGGGATTCTAAAAAGAACTAGACAAATTCCTGGAGGAGGGGATCCATCAATGTCTATTAGCCAGGATGGACAGGGATGATGTCCCTAGCCTCTGTTTGCCAGAAGTTAGGAATGGGCGACAGGCTGGATTACTTCCTCTGGAGCACTTGGCACTGGTCACTATCAGAAGACAGGATACTGGGCTAGATGGACCTTTGGTCTGATACAATATGGACGGTCTTACGTTTCCAGAGCCAGAACTGGCACTCCCAGCTTCTGGGGGCAGTTGGGGCTCCACCTCCTGAGCGCGGGGGGCGGTGCCTGTTTACCCACACAGAGACGGGTGGCTGGCGTTATCGGTCAGCCTGGCTACTCACTGATAGGGAGAATGCCACCTGTGCTGTCTCCCTGGCAACCGGAGTAGTGCCCCGCCCCTTCAGACACTAACTCATTTGTGCCTGTTCTCTCCTGCCCCAAACTCCAGCCGTTAACGAGTCAGCGTGCGCCTCTCGAACAGCCTCTCTCTGTGGGGGAGAGCTGCCCTTGGAGCTGCGCTGCAACGAGAGCCCTGGCTAAGGCCCAGCGAGGGGCTGCGAGCTTCCTCCCCAGCTGCCACTCAGCCGGGTCTTCTTCATGTTGGCATGGCCCTCTGATTCACGCGCCCGCTCTGGGAGGGAGAGGGAGGGGCGGGATGTATGGGGCTCCGGTGCCCCAGTGTGCGACAGTCACGGGGGGCAAGGGGGCAGAGAGGGGGGCCATGGGGCTGCAGGGGGCGCCAGGCTGCTGTGGCCCACTGAGGTGAAGGAAGGCCACTCAATCCTGGTTGCCCATCCCTGCTGTGGCTGTGCCCATCAGCCCTTGGCTTTCCCAAGTGGTAGAAAGTTGACGGAGGGCGCCCTGGTACCGTGCAGAGGTCCCCAAAGTGCTCTCCCAATGTACCCCCGCCCTGACCTGCAGCCTCCCCACTATCCAAGCCTCTCCTCAGAGGTGCCGATTGTGCCACCTCCTGGGATGGTTTCTCCAGTCCCACATGGAAGGGTTTGCAGTGGGCAGAGGCGGGGCCCCCATGCCAATCAGTATGCAAATGAACGCAGCCATACGAACGGCAGTGAGCGGGGGAGCCGGATGTCTCAAAAAGAACCCAGGCAGGCCCCATGTTCATCTTATCGAGCCGCTCATCTTATCGAGCCAGCGGTCACTGAGTAGGCACCAAAGCTCGTCCGTTAAATGAGCTCCAGCCACGGTCCTGCATGGATAGGGACTCGAGCAAGCAAGAGGGGAGACGGACTAGCTCAGCCTGGTGCTTAGTGAATGAATGCTGGGCCGGGCTGGCCTCTCCATAGGGTTTCACGTCCCAGCCTGCCTCTCCTCCCTTGCTGGAAAGCTGATCTCTCTCATTAAGTCAATAGACTCCACAGACAAAGGGTGGGAGGTAATAGCTTTTATTGGACCATTTTCTTCTGGGGAGGGAGACAAGTGTGGGAGCTCCACAGAGCTCTGAGTATCACTAACAGCTATTACCTTGCTGGCCTTGTCTCTAATGGCTGCAGCTCCCCTGCAAACATTGTCAATAGGGCAAGTTGCACCATGCTCGCTGTGAGGAGGGTGTAGCTGCCGAAACAGGCTCAATCAAAGGAGAGGAGCTTTGTTGTTCACTCTGTGTGGAGAGGGAGCAAATTGGACAGTATCAACACAGACGCCTCCCAATTAGGCACCTGACTGAGTGGCCGGATTTTAAGAGGCGCTGAGCACACAGAAATTCAGCCCCTGGCTACCGTGGGTGACTGTCTGGCTTGCTGGTGAGCTAGTGGGCGGATTGCACTGCAAATGAAAGCTGATGGAGTTTCGGCTGGTCCGTGTCACTCACGCCGGTGCTGGGGGAGCTGCCTTTCCTGAGGCAGTCTCAGGGTAGCTGAGTCGGTCGCAGAATATGAGAGAAACCAGGTGTGTTGTATCTTTGATAGGACCAACATCAGTGGGTGAGGGGGCCCAGGCTTTGAGAACCACAGAGCTCTTGGGTTAGGCGGACTCTGGGAAAAACCACACTTTGCATTCTTGATATTACAAAGGTTTGAGGGTTTGGGTTTTTTTTAAGGAGGAATAATATCAGTTAAGAAAAGATCCCACTGGGCCTTTTTCCCTCCTAGAGGGTTACACAGCACAGTGGCAGGTGCTTCTTCCTTGCAGGTCCCCATTAAATGTCCTTTGGGGGTCTCCACAAATCCCACATCTTGCTTCCTAAGTTCAGGCCTCCCAATAGAAATAGGGAGCCTCCCCCCACCTTCAGCATCAGCCTGAGCTAACCCAGCTTTAGCTACACTGCGTAGGGTTGCCAGGTGTCTGGTTTTCTACCAGACAGGCCGGTATTTGCACCATCTGTCCGGTAGAAAAATTGAGAAAATACCGGACATGTATAATGTCTGGTATTTTCTGAATTTTCGGCTGGGCACCAGACCGAAACCTGGCGGGGGCAGGGGAGTGACTGGAAGGCGGGGCGCGATTGGTGCTGGGAGCCTCTGGTCACGTGCAAAAGCTGGGTGGGGTGGAGACTG